GTTTTCGCAACTTGCTCATATTGGTAGGAAGACCTAGAGGAACGCATCTAGTCACTTGTCACTTTGATAAGTTGTAATTATGTGCTCACGACGATGCCGGAGAAACGCTTGGGAATGTACCAATTCGATGATCCAATGCTGGAAATCAGGAATACTATTTTTCGTATTTAAGTAGAGTTTCGAGACTACCAGTAAATCAGTAATATGAGATGTATTCACCAAATTTCGTTTAAGGTGATGAAGGATTGGTAGTAGAATTTTCCTACAATGTTAAGAGTGAAGTTGACGCTTCCATTGCATTTCACAAAGCTTTGCTTTCCCACAAGTTGTTCTCATCCAAGCACCAGTGAACCCAGTTTCGACTTTGTCTCGGTCTTGTCAACACCCCCAGCGGGAGTGGAACCGTGACAGTGCAGCATGTCACCTTGACACGTCAACCACTCGGCCGTATTGCCACAAGTGCCCATGGGTCACAGGGTAGATGTGAATTTCAAGGAAGGCCAGGCCTATTGCCACATTTTATTCTTTTGTGGGATTGTCGATGAAGCAAACGTATATTTGCTATAACAATCGGCTACGTTACTTATTTTTCATATTTGAGTAGCTTCGAGACTACCAGTAAATCAGGAATATTACATATATTCTGTCTATTTCGTTTAAGGTGATAAGGGACTGATAATATAATTTTCTCACAATGAAATGAGTAGAGCTGACGTTTCCATTCAATTTCACACAGCCTTGCTTTCCCAAAAAATGTTCTCATCCAGGCACCAGTCGACTGTAGTTTCATCAGTTTAAACGAAATTGGGTGAATTCCGCTCATACTACTGATATACTGCTAGTCTCGAAACTCTACTCACATACGAAAAATAAGTAATGTAGTCGGTTGTGATAACAAAAATACGTTTGTATCGACGACAATCCCACCAAAGAATGTGATACGGAATGTGACATGCTGCACTGTCACGGTTCGACTCCCGCTGGGGGTGATGACAAGACCCAAACGAGGCGAGCTCGAGACTGCAGTCCACTCCTGTCGGAATGTGAACACCTTTTGGGAAAGCAAGGCTGTGTGAAATTGAATGAAAGCGTCATCTCTACTCATATCATTGTGGGTAAATGTTACTTCCAGTCCTTCATCACCTAAACGAAATAGGGTGAATGCATCTCAAGTTGAAAAGACAGGGTCGAACCAACACTAAAGAGCTAAACGAGGCTGCAAACAAACAAGAAGCCACACCATCCTGGTCTTTAAATCTACGAAAATCATTTATACCTCGTTTACAATGAGGTTTGTAGATGAAGTGTATTCAGCCTGTTTCGTTTAGGCTAATACGGGTACAGGTAGTTCAAGTTTCCCACAACGATGTGATTAGCCATGACGTTTCCATTGAATTTCACAGCCTCTCCTTCTCGAAAAGTGTTCTCATCCAGGCTCAGGTGGACTGCAGCTGCGACCTCGCCCAAGTCTTATCAACACCGCCAGCCTAAACCAAGACGAGGTCGAAGCTGCAATCCATTCCAGCCTGGATGGGAATAGCTTTTGGGACGGCAAGACTATGTGAAATGCTCGGCTCTACGCATATGAGTTTGGGAAGATTCAACCGTAAACGAAGTGGGATGAATACATTTCATATTTGACTAGAATTTTGTGCATGAGCGAATTGCTTTATTTAACAACACATTTCTGTTTTTTAAACGGTTGTTTTAGACAATATTTCGCTCAGCAATGGGCTGCTGGTCATCGAGGCACAGAACGTTTGGGGCATCCTCTACGGCCTGGAGACGGTCGCCCAACTCGTCTATGTCACGCCATCAGGAATGGTAAATATGCACCACTTTTTTATGGCATTTGTGTGCAAACAAAAGTCCACAAGGACTACATTTCCAAAGAGGTTGCTGGGAGTTACGCAAAATAAGCGAAATTATTTTTTTACCTCTTGATTAACGTACAAGTTGAAAGGGGTAAGAGAAATCCGCTTACAAGGACACATGAGAATCATTACTTTTTTCGTAAATGAGTAGGCTATCGAGACTACCAGTAAATCAGTAGTATGAGATGTATTCACCCTGATGAAGGACTGGTTATTGCTTGTTCCCACAATGATATGGGTAGAGCTGAGCTTTTCCATTGAATTTCACACAGCTTTGCATTCTCAAAAGGGCTTCTCATCCAGGCTGAAGTGGACTGCAATTTCGACCTAGCCCCGGTCTTATCCAAACCCCCGCGGGAGTCGAACCATGACAGTACAATGTGTACACTCGACACGTTAACGAAATATATATGATTTACTTAGAAAAAAGTAATCTTTTCGATTGCTATGGCAAATATAAGTTTGCTTCATCGACAATCCCAGCAAAGAAAATGCCTGGCCGTACTTGGATTTCACATCTGCGGTACTGTCATGGTTCGACTCCCGCTGAGGGTGTTGATAAGACCGAGGCAAAGTCGAAATTGCGGTCTATTCTGGATCAGAAGAACTTTTGGAAAGCAAGACTGTATGAAATTCACTGGGAAAAGTCTACTACCAGTCGTTCATTAGCTTAAACGAAATATGGCGAATACATCACATATTACTCGAAAAAGAATAAATAGATTCAAAAATACTAAGATTCTTCATTGTAAAATATCAATAACTGGAATAAAATCTGGGATCCTACGTGTAAGTCTGTGACAGAAACAAAAATGAAAATTGGCAGTTTAAAATGAGCCAAATGACACATGATTATCGTCTACTGAAATGCGATACATCACTTGGATAAGCATGAAAAACAATAATACTTTTGCGCAGACGTCAGGTGCCGAATAGGTCGTAAGAATGGATGTAAAACAAGGATTAGGTGAAAGGAAGAAGAGTAGATGAATCAGCTTGGCTACAACTAACCAAGTCAAACAATGCTCTTTCGGTAGTGGAGAATTTGAGTACAAATTTAACTTGTGCTTTATCGCTCAAAATGCAATTTGCACGATTGCCTGTCATTTGTTGGGTGCCCCTTGACCTGTCGTTTAAGGACCTTTCTCATCTCTTTCTCTTGCTCTCTTTTCCAGAAGTACATCTCAGGAATTCTGATAGAAGATGCGCCAAGATATCCTCATCGCGGCTTTCTGATTGACACTTCACGCCACTTCCTTTCCAAAGCGGTCATAAAAGTTTTCTTGGTAAGTTCAAGACACTAAGACCTGAAGAGCACAGCTTCTGATGGCAAAGTGGACAGATTCGACAGAGCGAGTTCTTGGTACGCCTTGCACTAAAAGTTACCCAACACACACCCAACACATGCGGAAACACAAAAAGCACCAACTCACGTCCACGTCGTTTCCTGGTAGAACTAGGGCTCTATTGGACGGAGGCAGCGGCGTCGTAAGTAGCATTTAAGTAGGCATTTAAGTAGGCATTTAAGCATTTAAGTAGGCGATAAAACGTCGGCAGACGAACCATCAACAAACGAGTGGAATAAGTGAAGCCGGTGGGGCTTTTATGACCCATCTCCGAGGCTGGAGGGACGATTATCTTGTATTTATTTATCTCCCCCCCACAGCCGAATAGCACAATTGATGCTTGGCGCTGTAGGTGGATAGACAGGATGAAATGAAGACCACCATAACATTGTTGTGGTGGTCTCTGATTTCGTGTGAAAGTGTGTGGGTGTCAATTTTATCTGAAGACAACAGCTGATTCTTGTTGTCCAGCCGCCCTGTTCAGCTTCAATTCGATGTTCAGGCTGACGCAGTCCGGGAGATGGCCTCCACCGTTTCCAACGAAATCATTCTGAGCTTCCGTCGCTGAAAATGGTTCTTACAAGAGCTTCATGTTAATACCAAGTCTCTGACTGATCCTATACGTTAGGAAGGCTGAGTCTGTTTTCACCTGAAACGATAATCGGCGAGATCAAGCCACGGAGCTGTTCAGCTGGCACTTTTAGACGATATGAACGTCTCCCCAACACTGTCGTCATGGTGAACGAAATCGGGTTTCAAAGATTCCCTTCACAGATGATTGTTGGTGTGACTTTCACATCGTGTGACGACGCGAGAAGATTCGGTCGAGTGAATCCTCGGCGTGACGATGAATCCGGGACGGGCCTTCGTCTGGTCGTCATGCTAAGCCTTTAAACGAGAAGCGAAAGTGCTGCAATTCTGTCTTCTTTTTATACTCTAATTTCACTTATTTGTAGGCATATTTGAAGGGATTCGTAGGTTTTTCCTCATCCAAAGCCAAAGAAAGGCTACTTTTGAATTGTGATTGTAGATTTGTGCAAATAAGTCATCGGCCCACCACCCCGCGACCCCAATGGTCCCGTACCATACGACGGAGATCGTTAGGGCTGGACACCAAAAACTAAGGGGCCGGCTGCAATCCTACCTACTTCTTATGACCCAACTTTATTCGCTCAATGAGACATCGCATGATTTGCTTGGCATTTCCACGTTTTCTCGGCGGTACCTCTTGTTCCATCTCTCTCTCTGTCTCTCCCCATTTTGCTCTTATCCATTCCAATCATTGACATGGATTCCCTAATCTCCTTTAAACACTTTGCCATGGGCCTGCAAATCTAAAGTCACAACTCCTTCGGCTGCCGTAGTGACCAATTTACAACTCGAATTCATTTGCCGCTTCAAATGCGATGAAAGCTGCGCCAATATCATTTACCTCGTCCTTTCCAGAGCGACAGATCGATTGAAAAGATCTACAATGCCCTTTTTCTTTTATTCCCCTACAGGACGCCATGGCAATGGTGAAGATGAACGTGCTTCATTGGCATATCGTCGACGACCAGTCCTTCCCCTATTATTCGGAAGCCTTTCCGGAACTCTCACAAAAGGTAAGGACTTTCTGAACTTGCTAAACTTCATTCTGTCCAGCTATAGTTGGCAAAGTGCACAAACAAGCTCGTGGTAGATACCCGGTGACAAAGGAGGGATTCGGGTTCTATACACGTTCTATACCAGCTCTCTCTCTACAAACACATTCACAGATCCCAGGCGACCGGTCATTGTGTCCCCGAACGACCGACCCACCAATGTCCACATGAGAAGCCTTCATGCTCGTGCATATGATTGGACTTTTTTCGAGGTGGAGGTGGTACTCAATTTAGCTGAGGCACTTCACATTTGCCGCAACCATGCACTCCTCAACTTTGCTAATGCTGAAGTGGGTTGACCTTGTTGGTCTTGTTGTCAGGGCGACTTAGTAGAACGCACCTAATCCGAAGTTGTCTGCTATAGCAGTTGTCATCATTCCCAACATCAGACAGTGGACTTTGTACATTCTCAATGTATTCTTTTAATTTCCATTCTCACTGTGCCAAGTCCACTGTCTGATGCTGGGGATTATGACAACTACTCCGGCAGACGACTTCGGACAAGATGAGTTCTCCTGAGTCGCCATGACAACAAGACCAAGTTGCGACAACGAGGTCAATCCACTTCTATAAATCGAAAGAAGACTGCGACCATACCAAAGGCCACAACATCTTCATATTCATATTTTAAATGGCTAATGCTGGTTAACAATAAATGAGAAAATGAATAAGACTTCGTGAATTGGTATACAAATCACCTGTAAGTTTTTTTCCTTTCAGGGATCCTACGACCCAATATCAAAAGTATACACACAAACGGACCTCCGTGAGATCATCGAATACGCCCGGCAACGAGGCATTCGAGTGATGGCCGAATTCGATACTCCAGGTAGGCCAGTCGAGAGCTAATTTGGCGCTCGCTTCTACCCATCCACGTAGGGTTGTTGCCATGACAGACACCAGTTACAAAGCCATAAACGTTGTCTTGTTGCTGCATGTTTACATCTCGTTTACTTTGTTAAGAAAAAACGAGAATTGAAAACCGAAGGGGGATTGCCATTGGACAATTGAGTTCTTTGGCTCCGATTATTCGAAAAAAAGTTGGGTTTCGATAAATCTATTGATTCGGAATTTTCGTACTTACTTCCATTTCGATTGAAAGTGTTTGGTGAAGAGATTCGAAGGTCGGTTCTACCAGAAACCGACGGCGGATTCCGCTTGACCAGCTGTCGATTGGTTTTATTGGAGCATTCATGCTGACGATGTCTCCGAGGTGTAATCTTCTTCGATTCCGGTGAAAAGGTGCTGAGCTTTGGCTCGTCATGTGACGAACATCATCAGAGCGAGGTATCATCGTCACAAGCAAATTCAATCCAACGAGTCAAGCAAACTTAGCCGTCATGTTCTGGTGGAATCGACCTCCGAACCTCTTCACCAAACACCTCCACACGAAATGCAAGTAAGCACAACAATCACTTAAATTAGACCCTCGAAACCATAAGCAAATCTGGTACATGAAATGGGCCATTGTTGGATAATTGTTAATAATATGAGATGTATTCACCCTATTGTGTTTGAGATGATGAAGGACACCTGATGGGGGTGTCACAACCAAATTCAAGCTAACGAGTCAAGAAAAATCACCACAAACTCTCTAACAAGTGGTATCTATTCTCTACATCTGGCCTCTTTAATCAAGGATAAAGTGATTTGGTTAGTTACGGTCATATGTCAACTTCGATGCATGTGAGTGTGTCTTTCTCTGCATTTGTATGTGCCTGCTTGTGTTCGCTTATGCACGAAACCCGAAGTGATGGCTCAAAGTAATTAGGACAGCAAAAAGGTTTGATGACCCCCATCTCCCACTTTCTACGTGCATGTTATAACCATAACTCCGATCGCGCAAGGTCGGACACACGTCAGGTCTTGTTCGCATAAAGCAGATGGTAATCTTGCTTTGGTATCAAGTTAGGCCAATTTATGAATCTCCTCGTTTCGAGACAATAGGCCGAGACAAGAGGGGAATAATAATAATTGAACCGAAGGTATGAAGACAAAGATGGTGTGACCTTTTTATGATCATAGACGTGATCCTTGTTAACCAACTAGCTCTAGCTTCCACTGTTTCTATCGTATTTCTATTTCAAATACCAAGTCTATGACTTGTTATGCCCTATCTCTTGTGTGCCAACCCACAAACGTTGTTGTTTAACATTGAACCGAGTCAAAGCAAGCAGTACCACAACATTTGTGGGCTGGCACACAAGAGACTAGGGTATAGGAAATCATAAATTTGGTATTACTCAGAGGCCTAAGCCTCGAATTAATCAGCCAGACGCAGGGGAGGGCAAATAGCGCCTCGAGT